TGTAAAGTAAAAATTGATTACACTTGCAAATTAGCGTACACAATGCAGTCAGACTAACCTTCCTACTCTGTTCTAGCTTTCTAGCTGTAAACACTTCAATTCTTCAGTCTTAAATGACCTTCATCACTCTCAAACTCAATTTAGCGCAAAAGATTTTTTTTTGTAAGAAGCGCAACTTTTTTGTAGATGAGGAAAAACTTGAGAAGCGTTTGCTAAGCCATGATGATTTGTGCCCATTCTTATGTTAGCCAAACAAAGGACTGAAAAATGCTAACATAAGAGAGGAAAGTCTTTTGCAAGTGTAAGATAAAGTGGGGACTTCAAATGTTAATCAATATTCCTTCTCCCAAATCTTATATAGTGCTACGAATTCGGGTATAACCGTGCAGAAAATTTGAAAAGCATCCCGAAATTTTTTTTCCAAAGACGAGGTTGACTTTTGTAATTCTACCAAAGACGTTAATAGGAAAGAAAATTCATGTTTATGTACCCTATTCCTTTTCTAGTTTGCAGTTTCATATTAGATCCAATCTTTTAGTGTCGAGCACTTAAGCACTTCTCCGTGAAAGAGGGAAAAAGAAAAAAAATGAAGTGCAATAGATGGAACTGAACGAACGCACGACTTTACCAAAGAAATATTTCGTCATATTGAAACGCATCGAAACTTTATCGTTCCATAAAATCACTTTTGTCCAGCTGCGATAAATCATCACTATTAGAGGAGAAAAAAATTACTTTATAGCTGCAATAAATAGTAGATTTTTCGAGTAAACTATCTCTTGTTTCGCTCTTAAGTCACACTGATAGCTGGAGAATTCTGGGCGAACAACAGAACCAAATTAGCTCGTGTCTTCGCCCAAAATAAAGCTAGAAATTAGCTTTATCTCATAAGCTATACATTTTGTATAAATGACGGTGGCTATGACTATAAATGACTTATGCACTTTATTGCTCAAGTATGACGTGCAAAACTTGCATGACGGTGCTCGCTAACATTCCATAAGAGATTAGTCACGACAAGAAAATGACTAGCCTTTCAAGCGGCTGTCGGAGAATGATTACGTAAAATTGTGTCGTAATTCAAATAATCGTAAGGGCTTTGATGCGATAATGGAATCGGACGTACATACCGCAAAAAATGAAATCTTTTATCTGATTGATTCGATTAGCTACTCTGCTAAAAAAAACAATAAACGTCTTAGAACTCTCAAATTTACCCGTTTTGTAGAGAACCGGAAACTGGAAGTTTTCACTTCAAACTTCCCACCAAAAGAGAGTCTTTATCATTGTAGGTTCGTTTTTGTATTCGTCTACCAACATTAGGTATTGAATTTCAGCAAAAAATGAGTTAGGAGGGCCTTCCAACGTTAATGGTGCGAATTTTGCGGTCCGATAAACTAATTTTCCTTGTTCTTTTCTTTCGGGTAGAAGTCAAATCAAAAAGGGAGAAGTTAGTAGTATGACTAACCTCAAATGATAAATATATTCAAAATATTATAACTATAAAGATCATATTATAATAGTGAATGCCATACCTAACAATTTTGGGACCGTGTTATTGTCCCATAATCGTTAGTATAGCATTCACTATTATTATATGATTTTTTTAAAGTATATTGAGTATGTTAGCATGTTAAGAAATGAAGGACTACAAGCCAGGTATCATGAAGATAACTCACAAGGAAAGCGTGTTTAGTCGAAGTAGCCTTTCCAAGACCCATACTGCTCTGAAAGCGATGATTCCAAATCCGCCTTTGAAATCTGCCAAGCGCCTCTGGACGCCGAGTTAAGGGCGTTTTCAGGTCAAGAAGGCAAAACTCGAACAAAATCCCCTAAATTTGCTCAAATAGTTCAGTGTCAAGTATCTGAGTCGTTTATGCAATGCATATATTTTGTCTAATATGCTAATACTTAACACTGCTGTATCTGAGCACTGGAAAGACTGTAACAGTCAGTTTTACCTAAATTCTGCATTTATTTCTCTTTCCAAAAAATGGTCATAACTCGGCGTCCAGAGGCGCTTGGCAGATTTGGAAGACAGATTTGGAATCACCGCTTAATGATCTTCAAAGCAGTACGGGTCTCGTCTGGAAAGACTTCGACTAAACACGCTTCCCTTGTTAGCAGAATCAAATATTGATCAAACAATTGAGCTGAATGACACTTCATATCTTGACATCCGTTAACTTAGTGGTTGGTCCCAACCAGAAATGTAGAGAAAAAGAAGCATCAGCACAGAATTTCTACACCTAGGGATAATCATGGAAGAAATCAATTCAGTATTGACTGTGACTAATGCACTGTAGAAACATTACATGCTCTTCGCTCAAGAATGAGTCAGCGAACTGTTTCGAAATGGTAAAGTTACAAATACAAAGTTATTGCAATAATTTCAACGTCACTGTGGAGTCACGAAAGCTTTCCACGATGCTGATCGATGGACCGCTATTGAAGTTTTAAAGGCAGGGGTAAGAGTGAGTTAGGCTAGTCGCTTTCTCAGAGAGTTTTACACCATAAGGTATTTGAGACCTTTTCTAGACAAAAATGGCCCATGGATGGAAATATGTAGCTTCAAACAACCGTGCAAAGGGAATAGAGGGGAAATGGTATATGCATAAACTATGGACTTTCCTTTTTGAACAGTTCGGATATGAATGTTGTGCGAGCGGGATCCAATTTTAGCCAGCAGAATTCTCCCGCTTCAAATAATTTCAACAGCAAAGCATATAGAGAGGTTTTTGGTGCTCTTCACGAGCAGTTCGTCTATTTTAGGAAAATTTTTGAATAGTTGCTTTGGAAAATCAGAGATAAGTTGAGGCACAGCTGCGAATAGTAGCTTACGTATTACGATAAAGCAAATACTTTGACGAGGATATAGTGATTAAGATCTTGCCTCTACCCGTTTTGCCAGATGCTCTTATCCGCCGATTTTAAGCCGTGTTCAGGAGTTGGTTGTCACCGTGTTGGGTTGTAATCCTTCAGTAACAAATTGTTCAAATGGTTCTTGGAAAAAAAAACATAGATGCTAACTAATAAAAACATTCTCGCTATATATTACATGATTCGAATTTGATAATTGAGGCGAATAACAAGGCTGCCTGACGATGAATACTTGAGGAATCTATACCGAAAATAGAAGTAACTTAACGGATTAACAAAATTACAGAGAGATGATAAATTCAGCGCATCATTTTCGGAAAAAATGCTTGCGAAATCAGAGAGAGTCGACTCTTAAAATTTGGAAGAAAGTCACTTGTCTGGGATCCGAAGGATGCCAGCTAATCTGTGAAAGGAGACTGAATAACGAAAGTGCATAGGAAACCGCTGGTAATTAGACAAATGCTGCTTGCTGCGGGATGACGTAGGCGGCTGTTGAAATAATGATCCGAAATTCCTCAGAAAAGTTAGAATGGAAGAAGCTTTTGGAACGATTGAAGGATATTGATGAATTGCATACAAAAAGGTTTGGAAAAATGAAGGCAATAATTGAAGGATGACAAAGATATGTTTTTATGCATGAGATTAGGATTTTAGATTCTTATCAGCTAAATTTAGCTCCCACTTTCTTTGAACGGAAGGAGAGCAGTTATAGAAGTGCGAGAGTGACCCTTTTGCTGTAACAGTAGAAGGCTGTCCCTCCAAATGTTTCCCACAAAGTTCTGTCTCGTTTCCGTTTTGCCTATTGAGGTCGAGAGTGCTCGTGCGAACGAATAAAGAAGCGCAAACATACGACAGATATGGCACGTTTAGGTAACGCAAACAACTTCAGCCTTATGACGGCTGACGCATTCCGTGATATTTCATGGCACTTCACAAAAAATACACCGGCATTATTTGCATTTCAAAGTGCATTTTCACGGGGTAAATGTCAGTTACACTCTAGAGCCAACAAAAGCTATTGAGTTGCGACGCGATACGAATATAGCAGGGGCAATGGGAAGTTTTTTGGGTAAGGGCATGGACGAGAGTTATGTGGATTTTTTCTAAATGAAGGGGTCTGGATTTAACCTTTTGGAAGAACGCATAAAACCACGGAAACTCCCGCCGGACAAGAAAGATGCAGTAGTTTTGTTTGCAAATGCTACTATCAAAGGAGTTTGTGCGTCGAAAATGGGAACTTGGGCAGGAATTGACAGCAAACTATTGAAATCGGAGTCATTTTCCACGAGCTGCCGGAGATTTGTCCAGCGGAAGTTCCAGTCGATTGTCTGTAGACCGATGTCTTCTATTGTTGTCTTCAGGAAAGAATAGTAGGTAATATGCAAAGAAAGAATGCTCGTGAACTTAACTTTCTGAGAGCTATTTTAGATTCGCATAAGGCCCCGGACAGACTTCACGCGATTTGATCGTCGCGACTCAATCGCCGACATTTCCATTCATTTTCATTTCATATTCGAAAATTTCGGGCTGGAAAAGTATCACAACCGAAATGCAAGTTGATCGGCATGGAATGATGTTGTAAGAGTTGTCTCGTCGCGATTGAGTCGCGACGATCAAATCGCGTGAAGTCTGTCCGGGGCCTAACACTATCACTGTGCTGCTATAGGCTTCTGCTAATCAAAGAAAAGCTGAGCTTTGTGGACCCTTTTCGCCTATTTTTGATGTCTAAGCAATTCTTTTTTTGGAAAGATGAGAGTGCAAGTCCAACCGTTATGCCTTGGCCATGCTCGTGCGATTTCAGTCGCCAGGCGAGTTGACAATTTGCCAGATGTTTTCATGTCCACTTCTTTAAGATTTCACTGCAAAGTATGCCAACTTTGTTTGTTGATGTATGATTCAAGTTCTGTGTGAGAGGGCGATTACGTTGAGTTACAGACATCTGGAGCATTGCCAATCGCGTAGCGACTGAACTCACGCAAGATATGGCTGAGGCCTTACTTCCACCTTTCTCAGATTTGAAGCTAAGACCTTTAACATTTATTCTATCTAGGCAGATTCAAATTTGCTCTACATGATATGCATTAGGTTTGATTATGAATAGGATAATTATTCATGCCTGCTTATGCAGACAATTCCGCCTTTTCTTTGGAACCTCTCGATTTTTCCACAGATTCAGGCGATTGCAACTGAGATTCCGCTTTTTCTTTGGAACCTTTCCATCTATCTACAGGTTCAGGCGATTGCAACTGAAAAATGTTACAAAATTTTTTCATATATGATTGGATGTGAACTGTAGAAATGAATATCGAATTCATACCTCAGCTGTTTTCTCAGCGCTCAATCTCCGTTCAATCTCTCTAATTTCTTCTTCATCTATAAGTTGACCTTTTGATGTGAAGTATATCTCTCAAGAATAGAAGCTATGGACCTCTCAACGATCTTATACTTTTGGTATTCGCAGCAATAGAATTCTTCTTAGGGGTCCTGCAAGTCCACACACAAGGAACGAGAACGCATGGCAGCACCAAATGTTCGAGAACTTTCTGCAACATATGATGAATCACTGCCTCGACGAACGTCACCTACAAGTATGGAAAGCATCTTCTTAGAGCTTGGTATGAACCTAGAGAAAAGAATGAGTAGTCTGAATGAGCGAAGCTTCATATATAATACCGTTATCTTGTAACTCATTGAAAACTTCCTTTTTGTACTTCTGCTTACAAATCGGTCGCAATCAAACCATTCTGTTTGGCAGAAGTTACCTTCTAAAGTATTGCTATAGGTACTGTGATATTCGCTACGAAAAACGAGTAATCCTCGCGACTGGAAGCAGGTCTCACCGTCAGCACGCCGTCACCTAGACGTGGGGCCGACGAAGAGTAAGATCCCTGTAGGCCGTAAAAGACGCTTTTATAAAGAAATGCTTAGTTGAGGATGTCATGGCGATTTGAAGGGACCTACATCGCAATTTGAGATTTTAAAAACTGCCCCCTAAAAAGATATTGAGAGAGGCAGGAAGTGCTGGTGGCAACTTCGCGAACTAACGCCGGCAACCCACCGGAATCTCGTTAAAATTTGCTTGGTGAGAGCTGTGGAAGCGACTTGCTTTTACTTGTAAATAATTGAAATAATATTTAAAAATTTTTAAAAATTCAAATTAGCCTTGTAAAAAATTTTTTTCGGGGGCGTGGCTGCCGCCACGCACCTTTTTCCAGAATTTTTGGGGTCCGCAAGCCGCAAAAATTTTGGAAAGCATCTCAAACAATTTTTCGGAGTGCGTGGCTAACGCGACGCACCCTTATCCGAAACAGATTTTTGTCGCCCCCCCCCCTCTCCCCCCGAGCGGAAATCCTGGGTATACTACTGTGTGGTAGATACTATCGGCGCACAAGCCCATCTTCAGCAACTTCCGCAACAAAATTATGATGGCACGCCGTAAAAATTGCTAATTGTAAAGTCTAGTTCATCGAATCAGGCTTAAATTGGCATGCGCGTTCCAGCAAGCCATGATTTGTGCATATGAAAGCTTAGCGTTGGCTAAATATATTGGTTAGTGTTTTCGTTGTAGGAACTTCTGCGTGTGGACTAGAAAGTTCTACATGTGGACCGAGCAGACCAAACTTCGCGGACGTATGTTTTCGACATCGGCGGTCATAATAGCTGCTTACCGCTGCAAAACTCGTACTCCTTCCATTTGATTCATCGGCATTTTCCGAGCAAAATTCCTTATGAATCCTCACTCCCATTCTGTAAACAAGCAATAGAGCTCATTTATCGCATTCACCGCATCGTTCTGCGCTGAGGACGATGTGGTGACTCAAAGCGAGTGAGAGGTAGGCTTTTGCATAAGGATGAAGATATAGTGTGGACCCCGGCCAGGTTCCCATAGGTACCAACGCGACGCGCACGCAGCGCACGCCTCTGCTGCCTTCGACGAGCTTTCTTTTTGGGTTTAAAATGATTGTTTTTTGTTTTCCTTTCTTGTTTATCGTTGTTTCTTCATAATTTTTCTATTCCAAGTATGGCCGATCACGACAATGGACCATAACTTCAACGTTAGAAGAGAGCGTTGTTTGTTCTTACGTTTTCTCTTCGCTAAATGTCGGTGTTTGAGTAGTCTCGAGAGGATCTTTCGTTCAAATTCTTCTACAAAAAACGAATATCTGTGGTCTATTTTGGTGGTGCTTCTATCGTCTCTGCCTTAGAGAGGTTCCGCTGCCTTTCGATCTTCGTTAAATCAAATGCGCTTGTGTTTGAGGTAGAATGTTTGGGTTTTGTTATGCTCATCAGGCTCGCACAAAGTCTGCAAACCATAACGAGGTCGCTCTCACTCGATATCCTGGTGAGCAGTGCATTAGATTCACTGACAAAGCAAAAGGCAGCAGGAAGACAGCGCGCTGCGCATGCGCCGCGGCGGTACCTATGGGAACCTGGCCGGGGTCCACACTATAGGTGGCAGTGCGTATCGAATGCGCAGTGAGAGGAGGAGAGCAAACCAGCCATTTTTTGCAAATCTAATAAAGTATCTCTCTTATCTAGTGGGCGAGACTGTGCGCCCCGGTTAGTAACAAAATAGAGCAATGCTTTGAACAGTCGTGATGCTAGCGTTGTTACGTTTCTCCTACAGTCCGGCACACTCTGCTTGATTACGGTCTACTTTGGTTGAATTGGACGGTGATTTTTAAAGACACTTATTTTGCCGATATTCCACGACGATCCTAGCTTATTGCTGTTTGTAGCAAGTGAAAGTCACTCCTCCTTCAGGCTACTTGCTGACTCGGGTGTAAGGGAATGATTTATCCAGAAATTTTTTGCCAAATAAGAAATTTATCTCGAGCCGTTAAAGGCACCGTCCACCCAGCTTCTCGACTTCCAGTTTTTTGTCGTTTCAGGGCCTTCTCATGTCCCTGATTCCAAATAGAAGTCGAGAATCCGCGAAAACCCCGACAATCCCCATTCCGGACAACCCACAGGCCGTCTTTCCAGAACGGTGATTGGATGAGCGCGCACAAATGGGCGGGCATGGATAGGGATCCTCGTGCATCTTAGCGATTTTCTCGCTTCTGAAGCGGCATATTGCGCCGCGACTTGGATATTGGCTTGATAAGAGGCCCTACTGTTGTATGCTGCCAAAAGCTCAACACCCTCAACTTAGGGTGGACGGTGCCTTTAAGCTTTGTGCAATATGACGTTATGATCCTTCCTTATTACTCGGCAACTGATTCAAACAATCGGGTTCGTCTTCGTTTCAATTGTCGTTCAGTTATCGTCGTTTGTTGGTCACCTCATTACTCGACGTGATGCCATGAGTCCTTTCTCTGAGGTAAGCTCTATTAGGGTGAATTTACATCAGATATGGATGTTTTTACCTTAACGTATATTTCTTACTCGTGTAAAGTCGTTTGCGGTTTCCTTCCACTACTCAACATGATTATAAGTACCCTCTGCAAGGTGGTTGCCCCCAGGCAAACTCACAACCGGATATGACTGCTCACGGTTATTTGCTTCAATATATCTTTTGAATAGGAGGTCGTTCGTTGGCTTCTTTCCTGTACTTATTGTTGTCGTAAGTCAAGGAAGAATTCTTCCATCACCAACCATTTGTTATGTCCTCTAAACTTGCACTATCCGTCACAAGAAAAACCATTTGAAATCACGAAGCAGTTATTACAAGACAAACGATGTCTAACCGCTTAAATGTTTATGCGCGCACTGCTCACTTTCTCATTATTTTTTTAGTGCATAACTAATGCGCGTTTTCTTAAATAGTTTACGATAAGACACTTCTTTCCGAAACAATCTTTCTTTGCGCTTTAACCTCTATTGGAAACGGCAAACTTTTACCGTACAACAATACTTTCACATAACTGTATCCCTTTTTTTGAGAAGATTTTCTGGCCCAAAAATCAGAATCTTTTGGAAACCTTTCCTTTGAGAAGCCGTAGCTTTTCAGTACATTGGAATGGCGCGAACTTTGCTCATTGTAGACCGATAATTTGTTGAGCAGCGGAGTGAAGCTTGGAGCTTGCGTTTACGGAAATTTTTGCGAGAAAATATCGCAAAAATGAAAGGTCCCACTTTTTTCGGCAATTTTATGGCAAAAAAAAAACGTTTTAATTTTCAGAATTTTTCTCCTCTGAGAAATGGAAAAGCTGAATGTTACGTATAAAGTACTAATTCACCCTACCTGAGCTTAAGTACTGCATTTGCTCCTCGAATAAGATTTTTGCCGCATACAATGACTTTGGCAATGCACAACACTTGCAGTCACTGTGCATATAGAAGCAAATCCGACCATTTCTGATGGATTACAACAAAGAAAGTGGGAGCAAATGTTTAACACATCCACGACAAGGCCGATTTTTCGATCACTGCCGTTTCGGACCAGAACGTTTTCGCTTTGTCATTCTTACGAGCCGCCCGTGGGTCGTATTGTCCGAAATGGCAGTCTTTTTAAAAGTTCAAAACATATCTCCAAGAATATGCCCAGAGGAGTTAAGGCGATGGCGTTGGATATCAATATACGGTTTTTTTTCAGTTTTTGACATTATACTGTAGAGTTGCGGTAATCATTCTGAGGAATCCAACATCATGAAATTTCATGAAAGAATTGTTTTGGAGTATTTCACGTGCTGATCACGGTTATAGTGTCCACCTTGTTCACTACTGTCCACAGTGGGGCCACGGTAGCAGTATGGTAATATTATCGTACAAATCAAAATCCTGATGTAAGAAGGCTGTATTAGTGCCTGCGATTATTAATATTTTCGTAATCAGCATGCTACAAACCATATATGTAAGATTTCAGCTTTCTGAGATGAACAAAGCAAAAAAAAATATAGAAATAGATATATGCAAAACAAGGAGGAACAAAGTTCTTTTTTACAGCTTCTCTCCCTAAATATATGTATCTGCATACAAACCCAAGTCGATTTCCGTGAGCTAATCTCACATCAGTAAGTCGCGATACGAGGGGTAAGGCGAGCATCTACTCCTCCCGCCAATAAGCTGTAAACTTTCTGAAACATGTCTGTACGGAATATAATAGAAGATAATCCACATATATTGAACTCAAAGCGTGTAGCTAAGTGTAAATCTAGGTTCCAAATACAAATTTTTCCAGGGACTCGGGAAGAGTTCATGCGATTTGATCGTCGCGATTCAATCACTACAAGACAAGTGTACGAGTTCATTACATGCCGATGTATTTAGGTTTGATAGTTAATCACGATTAGCCGTGTTGGAAAACTATCACAACGAAATGCGAGAGGATCGACATGCAGTGATATTGTTACAGTTGTCTTGTCGCGGTCAATCGCGACGATCAAATCGCGTGAACTCTGCCCGAGGCTTAAGGTTTATGTTTTTGTTTATCTTTCATGTTTCTTTCGAGAATTAGGCTACAGACCTTGCAAAATTTTTGTGAAAATTTTTTGAGAGGGCATGGCTGACCCCATGCTGCTTCCAAAGCTTCGATTTGAAATGTGGTAGGAGTACAGAACAAAAGTTGTTTATAATTTTTCTTCAGGTCATGTGTGCAGGTTATAATGCT